GACTTAAATATAACACAAGACACAATAAATCTCCTAGAAGAAAACATAGGCAAAACATTTTCTGACATAGATCTTAGCAGTGTTCTCCTAGGGCAGTCTACCCAGGCAATAGAAATAAGAACAAAAATAAACAAATGGGACCTAATTAAACTTATAAGCTTCTGCACAGCAAAGGAAACCATAAGCAAAATAAAACAACAACCTATGGAATTGGAGAAAATATTTGCAGATGATGCAACTGGCAAAGGCTTAATTTCCAGAATATATAAACAGCTCATACAACTTAATAAGAAAAAAACAAATAACCCAATCCAAAAATGGGTAGAGGACTGAAACAAGCAATTCTCCAATGAAAACATAGATATGGCCAATAGACACCTAGAAAAATGCACTATTTCACTAATTATCAGAGAAATGCAAATCAAAACTACAATGAGGTGTCACCTCACACCAGTCAGAATGGACATCATTCAAAAGTCCACAAACAAATGCTGGAGAGGCTGTGGAGAAAATCAACCCTCCTACACTGTTGGACCATTGGTGGGAATGGCAGTTTGGTACAACAATTATTGAAAACAGTACGGAGATTCCTCAAAAAACTAAAAATAGATTTACCATATGATCCAGCAATCCCACTTCTGGATATATATCTGGAGAGAACTCTAATTCAAAAAGATACATGCACTCCAATGTTCATAGCAGCACTATTTACAATAACCAAGACATGGAAGCAACCTAAATGTCCATCAGCAGATGTCTGGATAAAGAAGTTGTGGTATATTTATACAATGGAATACTACTCAGCCATAAAAAAGAATAAAATGACCATTTGCAGCAACATGGATGGAACTAAAGATCATCATTCTAAGTGAAGTAAGCCAGAAAGAGAAAGAAAAATACCATATGATATCACTTATATGTGAAATCTTAAAAAAAAAAAGGACACTATGAAACAGACTTTCAGACATAGTAAACAACCTTATGGTTACTGAGGAAAGGAGGTAGGAAGGGATAAATTTGGAAGTTTGAGATTTGCAAATGTTAGCCACTATATATATATATAAAAATAGATTTTTTTTTAAAAAACCAAGTTTCTTTTATATAGCACAGGGAACTATATTCAATATCTTGTAATAACCTTTAATGAAAAAGAATATGAAAATGAATGTATATGCATGACTGGGACATTGTGCTGTACACCAGAAATTGACACATTGTAATTAAATTAACTTCAATTAAAAAAAATTTAGGAAGAAAATTTAGATTTAGAAATATGATGCTAAAAAAAATGGGCGGAGGCTCTGAATAGACAATTTTCCAAAGAAAACATACAGACGGCCCCCAGACACATGAAATACGGTCAACATTACTAATTACTAGGGAAATGCAAATTAAAAACCACAATGAAATATCACCTCACACCAACAAAAAGGTAAGAAATAAGTGTTGGCAAGGATGGGGAGAAAAGGGAACCTCCCAGCACTGTTGATGGGAAGATGAATTGGTACAGCCACTAAGGAGATTCCTCAAAAAGTTAGGAATAGAACTATTACATGACTCAGGTATTCCACTTCTGGGTATTTATTCAAAGAAAACAAAAACACTAATTGAAAAATATATATGCACCCCTATGTTCATGGCAGCTTTATTTACGATAGCCAAGATACAGAAACAATTTAAGTGCCCACCAGTGGATGAATGGGTAAAGAAGATGTGGTACATATACACACATACACACCATACTACTCAGCCACAAAACAAGACGCAATCTTGCCACCTGCTGCAACGTGGATGGACCTTGAGGGCATTATGCTAAGTGAAATAAGTCAGATAGAAAAAGACCAATATCATATGATTTCACTCATATGTAGAATATAAAACAAAACGAAATAAACAAACAAAACAAAAAAACACAGAAACAGAGAACCCATGAGTTATTACCAGAGGGGAAGTGGGGTGGGGAGGGGTGAAATGGGTAAAGAGGGTTAAATGCATGGCAACGGATGGAAACCAAACTTTTGGTGGTGAGCACACAGTGGTATACACAGAAGTTGAAATATAATATTCTATACGTGAAACTTACATAATGTTATAAAGGAATGTTACCTCAATAAAAGAAAGAAAAAAGATGTTAGTGCTTCTTGGAAAATAAGGGCTCAACTGCAATCATACAAATGTAGTTGAACTGTAACGCTAAAGAGTGATTCTACTTCACTTGCAAAGCATCCATAACTTAAATACTTGTCCCCACCAAAGTCCTTAATACTAAACAAGGAGGGGGGTCGTCATAAAACAACAGGAAAAAATAACACTCATTTGCCCCACTGATCTTCATTTTTCCATTTTTTATTTTGTTTTTAAGTCAACGAAGAAACAGCACACCTAGAGTTTTCTAAACAATTTAAAGGCAGACTGTGGTCCTTAAATTGGGGCCTTTACAATTAAATGATTTTTCTTCCTTTACTCAATGTACTGACAGAGACGAGCATGGCACCACAGGAGGCCATAATCTGACTGTGTGTGCAGAGCTCACAGCGCAAGTCCTGAGAGGCTCTAAGTGAGCTTCTTACCTGCTCTACACTTGAGCAATTCCAAAGAGGTTAGGGTCACGTTGATCAAAACATTTATAAGAACAAATTAATATTCGAAGAGGGACCAGCTGTAGATTTCTGCTTATTTTCCAGTTCTAAAAAGTAAAGATTAAAAATAAAATTAAGGTAGTGCTCAGAAATAGTTTTGAATAAAATAAATATTAGCTTTCTCAGAGATTTCAGAACTTTGATTTCTAAAGAACACACTAAACTATTTATGTTGGATTTTCTCTTTTCCCACAACAAATAAACAAACTTAACTAGCTAAGAAGGGCATAATTAACACTAAACAAAATCAGAGAATAAAAGATTATCTATGCTTTTATTCAAAGACATTATTAAATTGTCTGGCTGTTAAGTGTTTAGGGTGAAGGTAAAAAGCAATACAGAACACACACAAGCCTGATTCTGTCCCACAGGGATGTTAAGTGGATCAGTCAGTAGAGATTTACTGAACACCTCAGTGGACATCTCAGTTTTATCTGTCTCATGTCCACTTCCCATGGAAGTTAGTCTTCCTGATACTCTGTTCATTGCCTGCAGTGTTCATTAGGACCTTCAGTAGCTGGGTTTTATGCAAGCTGCCAATACATGCCTTAGGTTTTTGTATTTAAAATATCTCTAACCTTACTTCTCAATGAACAAAAAAGGCAGTTTTCAAAAACCCGATTAGCCAACTCAGTGTGCATGTCTTCAATCATTTCATTATTTGAAATAATGGCAACTTCAAATGGCATACCATTTGTATGCTTTGCAAACAATTTCTGAAGTCAGCACAGCTCTCGGTGACAGAATCCAAAACAGAGTCACACAACTAGCAGTTTCACTGGTTGATAATGCTGCTTAGGTTTATCATTAACCCGTCATCACAGTCCACAGTGAGAGGTCTCAGCACTGTTCTGTTTACTCTCCCACAAAAGAACTTTGAGGGCCTATGTAAAGGACCCAAGCACAGGTTATTAATCCATCCTTGAGAGAGTAATAGCCTTTCAACCCTGGTGATAAATCAGTGGGCAGCCAAAGTCATATGTAACATCCACCTTCACATCCACCCCCAACAGTGACCATGGAGTGCTCAGAGAACACATGGCACTATTCCAACAATAAAATGATTTGGGTGAAGATGGAAAACGAAATCTCTACAAACCTGACTTCCTTCTTAGAAGGAAGTTGACTTGATCAATCAGCCAACATTTACTGAAATTCCCAATGGGCATCTTATTTTTGCATGTCAGCATCCATTTCCCATCTGCCAGCACAAAAGCCCACCTTTTCCTCTAAGGAACCAACAGTTCTCCAACGTTGGTGCAAATGTTATGAAAGAAAGAAGGCACCTGATCCCACCCCCTGTCTCAAGACATAATCATGGAACTCAGGCCCAGCACATGAGCCAAGACAGTCCAAGCTCTCCTTTCTGCCCAAAAGCTTTCCCTGGATCTACTGAGAGAGAGAGGCTCTCCGTCTACTGCTGGAAGGCATAACTTAGGAAACTCTTGACTGAGAGCAAAGCCAAGACAAAGGAAAACAGAAGGACAAATTTTGGATGATAAATTTGGATACCTGATCCAGCATGATGAAATATTCAGCCAGTCCCATCCCTGGACCTTCTTCACTACTTGAATTAGTGTGTGAGTTGGGTTCTTTAACTTAGAACTGAGAGTTCTGATAAATTACAGGCAACCTAAAATCTGTACCACATTAGACAAAGTGTCAAGGATGCCAAGATACACAGCAGATAATTCCTGCCTCTAAGAATTCTTTCAGCATCTAGCTGGAAAGATAAGACATAAACACAAAAAATAACTAGAAACGTAAGGCTCAACCCAACACAGGTTCTTCTATATGGGTGCAGAGAAAGGAGACACCACCACAGGCTGCATATTAAACCAAGAGTTCACAGTCTAAAGAAACAATGAACTCGGTTTGGAAGGATGACTAAGATATAGCTACCTCTAGAGGACACGAAAGGACATTCAGAGAAGGTGAACTACAAGAGCAGAAATTCAAGAATGTGCATTTTATATTGGGGAAACAAAATAGTATAAACAACAGACAGACCATAAAATGTTGAATTGTGGGATAGCAACAATAAAGATAGTAGTCAGGGATAAAAAGAATTCCTAAGTAGTTGTCCAATGATAGACATATGACATATTTTAAATCTACTCTACATGAGATCATATTGATTAATTACATTATAATGGCTAGTCTTTTTGAATTAATGTTCCTTCTGGATATAAGCCCAGGAGTGGGATTGCCAGGTCATATGGTAAGTCTATTCCTAGTCTTTTGAGGACTCTCCATACTGTTTTCCACAATGGCTGCACCAAACTGCATTCCCACCAGCAATGTAGGAGGGTTCCCTTTTCTCCACAGCCTCTCCAGCATTTACCATTTGTGGACTTTTGAACGATGGCCATTCTGACTGGTGTGAAGTGATACCTCATCATAATTTTGATTTGCATTTCTCTGATAATTAGTGATATTGAGCATTTTTTCATGTGTCTATTGGCCATTCGTATGTCTTCATTGGAGAATTGCTTGTTTAGGTCTTCTGCACATATTTGGATTGGGTTGTTTGTTTTTCTCTCGTTAAGTCATATGAGCTGTTTACATATTCTGGAAATCAAGTCCTTGTCAGTTTCATCTTTTGCAAATATTTTCCCGCATTCTGTACGTTGTCATTTTGTTTTGCTTATGGCTTCCAATTGGGAGTCTGAGATTTGCAGACACTGACTGGTATATATAAAATAGACAAACAAGTTTATACTGTATAGGACAAGGAAATATACTGACGATCTTGTAGTAGCTCACGGTGGAAAAGAATATGAAAATGAATATATGTATATTCATGCATGACTGAAGCATTGTGCTGTACACCAGAAATTGACACAATGTTATAAACTGACTATACTTCAATAAAAAAAGAAAGGAGACCTCTCAAAGAACGTTAAAAAATAAAAAACTAGGACAAAGACTAGAGTCATGAACCAAGAGGAGAAGGTTAAGGAAAGACAAGCATAATTCAACAAAGTAAGCATGGCCGTACAGTTATTCAATTTTCTCTGTCCAGTTTCTCCACGAGGTGAAAAGTTTATAATAGAAACTATTAAAAGCATTTTCTATTTCCATTGTGGTTTCAGCCATTTTCCCTTGTGTCATTAAGAAACGGTATGGGCAGAGTTTGGCTTGGCTCTTGTTGGAAGCAGGAATGCAAAGTGTCTGGATCCTTCATTCCCATTCTTGGGGGTATCACTGTTTAGTTAATTATAACAGAGTGTTTTGTTTGACTTTCTAGGAGCTTATTTTTCCAAAGAACATTAAATATGAAACTGCTTGTGATTATTCTCTGACTTAATAATTACTATTTCTGATATAATATCTCTCATGGCTATGAATTGTGTCCTGGAAATTTTACTGAGAAAAAATGGACTCAACATAATTTCTTGGTAACATACTTTCCCATCTAGTCATTGATTGAACTCAGTAATTTTCACATGAAAAAAAGAAAGTCACTAATACCTGACTTTTGATATCCATTTAAGTTCTTACCTGCATTTGTGGCATCACCACCTGTGAGACATACATCTCTACCAGTATGACATACGTCCATTTGAAATAAGCGTGTTACAAAGGAGTAATGACACACACCCTTAGACATCTCTTCACAAACCTCAATTAACAAAATCTCACAACTCTGTCAAAGATAATTACTGCTTTGGTCATTGTTTACAGATAGAGATTGAAAACCTGAAAGATCCTTTTTGTCAAGCCAAAGTCAGAGAAGAGGAAAAGGAGCTGGTCTATGATTAGACATGCTTTTATTTCTTTTTAGCAAAAAGCTTTAAAATGTAAAATGTTATACTAAAGTCTCATTTTTCACTCTTTACTATTCACAATGAAATGCACTATTTCCTAAAGCAAATAAACATATGATTACAATCCTCTCCCTATTTTAGGGAAAAGTAATTTTGCACTTTAAGTTTAAATATGCATGTTTACTAAGTTTTATATTTGTTGAATGGTGGAACCCAGAGATTTTTTTTAAATCCTTCAATATATGCCTAAGAGTTAATCACTACCATATTTTAAACTTTGAGAAATCAAAAATTATCAAAATATATAATTCTATCACACAGAATAAAGTTTTCAATATTATCTAAAGCACAAAGAATAGGATGGTTTCCTTTTTTCTTGGGAAAAGTTATCATGGTAGGCAGGATAAAGGCTCCCCAAAGATGTCTGGGTCCTAATCCCTGGAACTTGTGAATATACATGTTGCCTTACATGGAAAAAGGAACTTTGCAAGTGTGATTAACTATCTTGAGATGGGGAGGTTATCCTGAATTATCCAGATGGACCCAATTTCATCACAAAGATCATAAGAAGTAGAAGGAGGCAGAAGAGAAGTTCCAAGTGATGTACTGTGAGGACTGGATCTGCCAACACTGGCTTTAAGGATGGAGGAAGGAGACCGTGGGTAGCCTCTAAAAGCGAGAAAGAGTGGTAAGAAAGTGGATTCTCCCCTAGCACCTCCAGAAAGAAATGCAGCCCCACAGACACCTTGATTTTAGCCCAGTAACACTCATTTTGGACTTCCAACCTACTACACTGTAAGACAATAAATTCTTGTTGTTAAGTCACCAAGTATATAGAAATTTGTTACAGCAGCAATAGAAAACTAACACCAGCATCATGTTCCAAATTAGCAGGACCGTGAAGCATGACTGTGACAGCCCCTCTCCCCTCTATGGAATCAAGACACTCTGGAGCTAGAAGAGATTTTGGTCTAATTACTTCATTGTCCCAATGAGGAAACTAGTCCAGATACAGTGAGAAGGAAGGCGACTTGCCTTAGGCCTCATAGTTTGAGGCAGAGACATGACTAGAATCTAAGTTCACTATATTCTAGGTCAGATTTAGTCACAGTATGCCTCCCAGCTTCCTTCATAATGTGGGGTTTTGATTATAGTTTAGTAATAATTTGCAGAACTTTTTGGAAGAATGAAAAGTTGTTGGAAAGTGGCACATATTTTCAAATAAAGCATGGAAGGATACTGTTTTGCTGTTCTGATCTGTTTTCAACTGATGGTTA